GAACAGAAATCCAGTTCCCAGAACCTTCACTGGGACTGTTTGCACTAACATGCTTATCTGGGTTATGGCACAAGTGCTCAGCACCTCCCATGTTGTGTTACCCAGCTAGGGAACAAATTAAATAAATTCCACTTAAGAAGCGCGAAGTGCTTTTGTTTTAAAATTTAAATACATGTAATAAAATTTAAATACATGTAATAAATTACTTCTAAGTTATCACTCAATCTACCAAAAGCAAAAATTACATATGAACTCTACTGAATAAGTCTGAATATAACTATTTTGGAATACTGCTTGCAGACCATCTGAAAAATAGAAAAGCCACATATCTCTGACCCAGCAAGTCGTGCAAGACAAGATGCTGCTGCTGTTATTGATGCTAATTGATTTCAGTAGGAGCGGTACTGCAGTTGAGTTTACAAAGGCCCAAAACCCTATGGGCTGGATTCTGCTAATTTTGAGTCTTAAATCTATCTGGTCTATTATGCTTTGCCATAGTACCAGTCATACTTAATGCTAAATTCCAATCTCCACTTGACCTTTCATCTTTTCATTAAATTGCTTATAACTTGCCAAATTGCCTTTATTTGAAACTGTGATTGGTTTCAGGCCAAAAGCGATTTTTTTCTTCCCATGAAAAACTATGAGTGAGTCAGAGCAGCAAAAGTATTCATTCACACGACTCTAACAGCTGACACAAGAGAACTGGTTTGACATATTTTTTTTCCCCTCCCATTTCTGAGGAAATGTTTTTCAAATCAGTCCAGAGGTTTTTTGCCCTGACTTCACCTCATTTTCTACAACATTTCCTGTCGCCCAGTATAGTTGCTCTTTGCCACACCTGATCTTCCTCTACTGCCCTTTGTCCCTCAGAAAGCCAACACTAACCCTTCCCAAAAAGCTGTGGCAAGGTGAAGACTATATAAAGAGTGATGGAAAGCACGGTGATAAAACCTGGACACTGAGAATAAAGCTGAATACTGGGGGACATTCTCATGCAACTCCTTCACATCATTACCTTCTTGGTCTCTCACTGATTTTCTGTGAAATATCTCCCATTTCAATTAACATTAGGTTAAAATTTGCTTCTTGACTTTCTTCTTGAATTTCCCTGCAGGTCATTGCAGACTTGTCACTAATGCTGGGATTATGGGGCCATCTGCTCCTACACACTTGAATATTGAGCACTTTAGAGAATTAACTGCAGTTAACTGGACTCAAATATGTTACAGTAAAGATGCTTACCTTGACAAAAGAAGCAAAGGGAAGGATAGTAAATGTATCCAGTGTTGTAGTTCGCCTAGCACTTAGTGGTGGAGGCTAGTTTCCTTTCAAAGGATTTAATGTCAGCTTAAGGTATAACACTCACTGTGAGGAAAAACCACCTTTTTTCTTTCCTAAGGCTCATATACTAAAAACTGGTATGCATGCAGAATAGCAGCTGATTTACAATCCTGGCACTTGGTATAAATTCGGAAAACTTTAGTTTGGACTTATACTTCTTCTGCCACTTTCGAAATGGTGCAAAGCCTGTTGGATGCACAAGCTGTCCTCAAGTATTACTGCAGTGTAGTTTGTACCCTTATGTGCTCACAACTGAAACATCTGGGTGTGCACAGAGGCCTTATTGCAGAGGAAGCTCTAGTCAAGGGAACCGAGATGTCTTTGCAACATTAAGTAATTAGGGAAAAAAATAAACTATAAAATGACACCACCTACTCTGATTTTTATCTTTAGAAATTACAGTTTGGCTGGTTTAATTCAGTCCCTGTCAGACCACTAGTATACCTTCAGCTGCTGCGAGACACAAGCACTGCAAATGTTAACATTTGAAGGAAAACACAAACAGGATTTGGGACAGGGCCCACTAGCTGTAAATATGTTATTTAAATTAGAAATGCAGGGAAAATATCAGCTGCCTAATGCATTACTTTTGTATGGAGGAATAGACTCTGCGGACATTTTCTCTCCTGGGACCAGATGCCTCTTTTACTCAAATGCCAGCAACAAAAGCCAGTGGCTTCTGGAAATAAGCAAACCACAGTGTGCTCTGCTAAGACCAGTGGAACCCGATCTGTTCACAGGACTGCATGAAGCAGGTGAAAATGTATTTAGACATATGATTTAAAGGAGTAGAAGGGACTTCTCATGGAAAAGACCCATGACTTCCACAAGGTCAGAACACAGTGGGGGACTGCACCCACGGGACCTGGCTCCGGTTTGTTAGAGCCAGCACACAGTTGTGCGCTTCAGAACCTTCCCTTGTGCAGCAGGAACAACATTAGCTTCTCGGTTTTCACTGGAGAAACACATTTCCTTCCCCAGTGTTAAGCTTCAAGCAATTTTTCTACACCCTTTCTATGAGTCAGGGATCTCATTACAAAATACACCTAAGGAATGAGTGGGAAATCAGGCAGTCAGGACTGTCTCATGCTAAGCTAACAGAAAGCTACATTTAGAGCTCACATTTTGCTTGTGGGATTTCTCTTCCAGTAAGCTTCCTCGCATGCTATGTTCTAAGAGAGTTGGAGGATCCTTTGTGAAAAAGGGAACTTACTGAGAAAATTCCCCATTTTGATATTTTGTGAGATGCTAAATTGGATCTATTCAGCTTTCTGAAATTACTTTCTGCAGTTCAAAAGTAGTTTGCTGTGAAAAAAAAAATCCGAGGTAGAGAAAGAAAACCTCCTTTCCTGTTTTCTCTCCTACATTTGTAAGGCAAAGGATTGGTACCCACAGTAGTAGGATTCCAGACCTGACACTGATTGAGTAGTGTCCCCCTGTGGCAGGCTTTGCATGCTGGGGGAGTGCCGTTTTGTGGTCATCTCAACCACACTGAAGAGCCTATCATTAGAATCAAGCCAGACAGGGCTAGGCAGGCACCTCTACCAGGCTTGTCCCGAAGAGGAAATCTTTGCGAGTCACCTGCTGAACTCCCAAGTCTCCAGCAAGCAGCACACACCTGACTGCCACGAGAATGCTGAAAGTGCAGTAACAACCAACACCACACCTCAGGCTGGTGCGGCACTGAAGAGTGGCAGAAGAAGCAAGAATTTCCAGGCCCAAGCCAAAAGGAGCAAGGAGAGAAACTGGAGGGGGAAGAGCTGTCTACCAAGCAAAGGATGATATAAAAACTCTGCAGCTCCTGACAGGGTAGTCAGACCGGGTGTCACCAGCCGGTCTGGGACACGCTACCGTTGCCATGGTCCAACCAATTGTGTGGGGCAAGATCACTTCCAGCTCCATCCTACCACCTTGCTTGGTTTCCCCATTTTTCATTTCTTTCTCATTCAGTTAGTTTCAGATCAATTTTTATAAAAAAGCTGAATCATTCATTCTGCTGTTGAGAATGGTCTTTGCCCAAGCTTCCTTGCTTCCTGCAGCATCTGGCACTGCACAGCACTGTGAGTGGAGAGACATGAAGGATGGGGACAAGAAATTCTGCTGCCATGTTTATGCAGTACTACTCAGAGCTGAATCAGAAGTGCCCACCAGACTCTGGGCCAAGGAGCAAGCAAATAAGCCTCCCAGCAATCACATGTTAGCATCTGTGCCCATGCAAACTGCAGAGCTTCTGTTTGTAGAATTTGAGGTTTTACTTGAGAAATATTGCAATTGGTTAATTTCTGGTATCAAAAAGCTGCCCCTAAACTACTAAAAATAATTCCACCCCTGAAAGCTTTCACATACAAGAATGTATCTTAAAGGATTAAGTCCTATCAACAATAACTCAGGAGAAAAGGTGCAGGAGAAAAGATAGAGGTCTGAACCAAGCTCTGTTAAGTCAGTGGAAAGACTCCTGCTGCTTTCAAGACAATGCACAGATCAGCTAGTAGATTAGTTCCATCTCAGCTCAGTAGATTAGTTCTCCTTAATAAGTCTTAAAAGTCCTCAAGGCTCTGTAAATCACTATATATAGCCAGCAATGCTCATACAGCATTGGTAGAAGAAGCAGGCATAGAGCATATACAGAAGATTAATACCAAATAAATCCCTAAGGCAGACACATCACAGCACAGAGTAATTATCAACAGCAGGGAAAGGGGCCCTGTTCATCAGCTGGTGTGTGGCAGTCAGAAAGTACCACCAGACACAGAATTTACAGTGAGATTTTTTTGGAAACTATCACCTTGTGGGTCTTGGCGCACAAGTTCATGAGCAACTTGGGCTGTTTCTATGTTCTGACACTGGAAATGACTGGTGAAGGCAACTCCTGAGCACCTGGAGGTGTATACTGAGCTTGCAGATGTCTCCCCAGAATGTGAGTAGAATTTGTGTCTATTATTACAGCTAAGAGAACAAATTAATTTTTTTTTTTTCTAGTGCACAGACAAGGGAACATGCAGTCCCTTCCTTTCTGGAGTGATTTTAACCATTGTTGCTTATCTAGGCACCTACAATGTCTGAACAAAATGCTAACTTAAAAATGCTCTTTTTAACATCTGGAATCTTTCCTCACTTAAATTTTCAATTACTGTGCCAGTCACCTAAGAGTTCAAAAGGTTTTGTTTTCCTGGGTCTTTTACCGATGCTGTGGTAAAACTCTGAAGTGCAAGCCATACAAGGAAGATAAAATTATGGTGAAAAATCAGCCCCCACTGCACCAGATTACATCCACCTCCCTGCAAAATGCTGTGTAAGAGAGTTTGGAAATGTGTTTCTTTTAAGGTGACATATTAATGAAGATCCTAATTTATCTGTTGACCACTAAACTGAATTACCGTCCCGACATATTTACTCAGCATACAAAAAAGTACTCCTTTACCAGCTTTAAATGAAAGTGCAAAGCCTAGCACATGCAGAAATAGCTTACCTAAGACTGAGAGATGTGACATGTTTGTGCCTGCATATTTTTTCAATTCATTAACTAAATACTAGGGGGCTTTTAGTTCTGTCAGGATGACCGATTATTAAAGTTTGTGCTCCCTAGGCTCTGGAGAGCTGTTGGATGATCTATCAGGTCATTATCTGAAACATGTAAACCTTCTAGTAAATGCTACATGAGTGCTGATTCTGAAGGACCACAGTCCTTAATTTCCCCGTGGCAGTTCTTCCTCAGATATCTGGCAGGTCACTCCACCCACGGCAGAGCAGTGACTTCTGTAAGTCTGCAGGGCCTGCGCAGCGGTGGATGAAGGAATCCAAAACACATCCAGACCCCAAACTTTGCCCCAATCTGAGATTCTTTGGCATGACTACCAAAGCAAACTTGCTGTGGGAGTAAATCAGTAACACTGTCCTTCAATGGGGTCTATGTGCTTCAGCTGCCTTTAGTGCAGAGAAGCAGAGGAACGCTGTACTTTGCAGTCATCCGAGGATCTGAAGGGCTCTCAATGCTGTCATGCTGCTTTTCTCTAAAATCAATTGCTTTTATAATGGCACTTGTCTAGAAGTAAGAAGCCAAGCTCTATCCCAAGAGTTTTCAATCTGCCAGGCAAATATCAAAGTTTTGATGGAAAGTAGGATTTGCCTTCAGCTATTTACTGGCTACATTATTAATCAGAATTCAATATTTATGAAGATATATCAATACCCTAGAAAATCATGCTGACATTTTCTCTGGAAACACACTCTTGGCCACTCCACACAGCTATTTCAAAATCAATATGCCCCTGGCAAACAAGTGGCTTTTTTGGTGCTTTACAATTAGCAAAAAAGAAATATTTTGGATGACACGGTACATTCACAGAACTAGATGATTTTCTCAAAGGAAAACTTTAACTGAGACTATTTCTCCAGGTTCTTCCAGACTTCTTCGAGCAGCAAAGACATTATCTAGCAGAATATGTGGTGGCAGAAGGCTACAGCAGGGCAAAACCCACCATGATGCTCAGGACTGAACTTCTACCAGAGAAGGACCGCTAGTACTCCAGAAAAACTAGGCAGTTAGGAATTACAGGCTTAGTAACACTGGCCCAGGGCTGATAGGGAACAGAGCAGTGGAAATTCCACACACAGTGCTGCCCTCTCAGCTATCTCCCCTAGAGCCCTTTGTCTGATAGATCTTCTGTGGCAATTATTGCTACCTAAAAACAGTGGCTAACACCAACCAGAGCAATTGCAAATGTTTTTCTTACAGAAGTCAGGTAGGCATCTTGGCCACGCATTCCAGGACTTCTTCACAGAGCCCATTTTCAAATTTAACCTTCTTTCCAGTAGTTCAAGTTTACTGCCCACTGCTTCCTCCCTACAGCATAGCCAAGGAAGGAAGATGTGATTTACAGCTCCTGTTTCTAGTTAGGTTAATCTTTTGCCCAAATCTCTAATTATTCTGTTTAATTTTGTATTGGCACAAAGGCAAATTGAGTCATAAAGTTATAGATATCACAGCACTAGCTTGCCAAAGAGCTTGCTGTGATTTATTGGCACGGGGTTACCAGAGCCTGCTGATAGTAAATGCTCCCTCTCTTTTTGTCTAGCTCTGCTCCAAATTCTAAATCAGCAATCAAAGGAAATGTCATTGCCTGGCACATCATTGCAAATGGACTGGAGGTATCTATGATCAGCTGCTGCAACATTCTGTTTTCAGACTTTATTTTACAGCACAGAAGCTTGAATTATCCTCAGTGCTTTCACATAGTCAGAGCACACTCCGAGTCCTCTCAGAAAATAAATGTCACCAACAGAGTGAAACATTACAAAGATGATTCCAAAGTGCACACATTCAGGAACACTGCAATCGTTGTCAAACCTAATAGGGGCACTCACAGCAAAAAAGCCGAGTGTCTAAGTGAAGTACCTGAGCTAGAAGGCCAATTACATCAACTGCAAAACAACAGTGAGATGGGCTGCTAAAATAATCAATGCAAATGCCTCAAAATTCAGTGGAAGCCCTCCTGTAGATTGCAGTGGAAGGAGAAGCAAACTCTTACCTGTATATATTTGCTTAACTTTTTAAAATCAGGGAGCATTAGTCAGTAACTCAGGAGTCCATTTGATGGCTACTGAGAAAATCAATCATGTAAAATGAGATCATTAAGCAGCAATGAATGTTGTCACTGGTTATCCTTTGTTATCCTATGTGACTGACTTAATTATTTAATGAGAGTTCAATATTCATTCACTATCAGATTCTGAGATTCTTTCCATTCCTACTTGGTGAGGTGACAGCAAAGTCAGAATAAATCCGGATCAGTCCATGAACTCAGTAGGAGTAAGAACAATGCACAGGGTCTACCAAACAGGCCTAATACATTGGTCTTCCTGTAATATTCACGTCTTGAGATAGCAAGAATGTTACACAAAAAACAGACTTTAAAAATCTCACATTTTAAAGGTGAAATGTCTGCGTATCTACTTATATGTAGGTAACTCGAGCCTAGGTGACTGCATAGAACCTGCAAAAAAAGTTTCTTTTTAACAGAAAATGCTTATCAGAGTTATTTGCTTTAATTAATTATTTTGGTTTAGCTCTTGCACAAACCAAAAATACAAATAGAAAACTAGTAATCAATGATGAAGATTTTAGATGGCAAGAACTGCATTCTACATTTATCAAAAAATTTCATAATAAACAAACAGTATCCTCCCCAACAGTTAGGAAACCTTGTGTTTCCTCAGTGCCTTTTTTTTTGAGGGCAACATCTTCATGCATTTCCACATTTCTTTATACAAATACACTTCCTATGTAATATATTCTGCTGTGCAGTTGTATCAGTGTTAAACAGGCAATGAGTGACAGAAGACTCAAGCACTGCCCCAAAGTCTACCTTGTCTACAGGGCAGAGAGCAGATCACTCATCATCACACAACACAAGTCACACAACAAATTAGTCATCAGATCCACCACCACACCTTACACTTCTCTGGTGGTTCTCGGGGTCACTCTGCTTCCATGCTACAGACTAGATAAGCAGCCTGGGTGGCATCATACAGGTGGCCAAAGAGAATTGTCCTTTTTCCCAGAGGAATTTCTCTCACCAGTGTCAGCACAAATAAAGACCAACACCCACAATAAACCCCAGACACCACTTAGAGAACTGATGCCGTCATCCTTTTCAATCGGAAATGTCCTTAGAGGACAGCGCTGACTAGAAAGATTGGTCAGCAAAGCTTGAAAACAGTGGAAATCTATTGAAAAGAAAGACAGGGAAGGTTTTGCCAAGGCACATATTACTCATGGATCCCAATCACATTGTGCCCAAGCTCCTACCCCTGCTCTCCCCCAACATATAAGGGCTGCAGCCAGAAACAAAGCCCCTTAGAGGAGTTGTGTCTCAGGAAGTTGAAGGGTTGGCTGAGCACATTTGCTTCATTGCACTTCTACATCATTAACTTATTTGCTTGTAGCTTTCATTTTCAGACTCACTGCACATAGCAATTTTGGCTTCCATATTTTCTCTTATAATTTACTGGCTCATCAGAGACAGATACAGAGTGAGAAACCTGAGTGGAAAGCACGTCTTCATAACAGACTGTGACACTGGACTTGGAAATTCCCTGGCTAAATGGCTTGACAGAACGGGATTTTGTGTCATTGCTGCATGTGCCACAGAAAAAGGAGGCCAAGAGCTACGGTCCTGCTCTTCACCCTCACTGAAGACAGTGAATCTGAACTTAGCAGACTCCAACAGCATTGCCAGGGCTGTGGGGTTTGTGACCGAAGAGACAGCTGGTAAAGGTAAGTGGCAACTTCCCAGAAAAATGATTCAATACAACCAAATGTGGTCTAGCTAAAAGTTCCCTATCCACTCACTGCAGAGGCATTTTTCATCTTACTAATGAAACACATCCACTTTTTAGTTCTGTCATTTCTTAGTTCAGAGAGATTCCCTCCAGCAATGCTTCCCATTGCTTTCACCAAGAGGGTGCCTAACAACTTAGTTGCTCAGTCTGTTAAAACCAGATCATTCCCAGGTGTGTTTTTTAGTCTCTTCTTGGTGCAGCTGAAGAATGTCAGCAGAAGGAAGGTACTAAGTGATACCAGAAAGGACTTTCTTGACAATAAAATCACCCCACTCAATTAAAAATGGTCAGTGCAGGGATTCTGCAGCCCTCCTCTAGTAAGCAGAAGAGCATATTTTTGCATCGCTGAATAAGTCTGACACTTGCATTGTACACAACAATTGGACTCACTGTAACAACTCAATTTCAGCCAGTTTTCTTAGAGTTGTTATACAGGGAGCTCTCACGACTGCTATCATACACCTCTGAGCACTCATGTAAAAGAGGAAGAGTTTGTCCTTTGATACCTATGAAAGGTGTTAAAAAATAAGACTAAAGTGATGGGTTTTGCACAGGGTGCTAAACAGACCTGCGTGGTAAATATATTCAACTGAGGCAATATATGTTTCTTTATCTGCAATGATAGCTGAGACTAGACATTGCTAAAGGCAATAGAAGGGGATCACAGCAGTGCAACTACCACCTGTAACACAGTTATACCAAATATTCAATTGGTTTATAAATTAATTAACTACTTAAACCAGCAAAACATATATCTTCTACCAGTAGGACTTTCTCCTCAAAGCTTGTAAAACACCACTGACCTCACCATGAATACTGCAGACCATTCTTGAATGCAGACATTGAGAGCAAGGTAAACAAAATTATTAGCACTTACTTCCTCCAGCAGGCTTCTGCTTCCAGCTTGTGGAAAGCCACACGTTGTCAGTCAGGACTACCACTGCCGACACTGTCACCAAAGTCTGTGAAACTTATGAGTGCTGGACTTTCAGCTTTCCCCCCAGGCACAGGCTGTCCTCAGCAAACTCTTAGAAACGTCACTATTTATCTTAAGTTCCTCAAGTAATTTATAAAGGTAGTAAAGCAGTATTATCAATACACAGTGTTAAGCTAGTATCTTTAGAAGCATTGACTAATTCTACGCATCTGGCTCAGACCTTTAGACCCCAAACCAGAAAATTCAGTTTCTCCACTTTTATGCAGACTCTTTGATTTTCACAAGAATATAAGTGCATATTAGGAGCCTACATACTTAAGTGGATCTGGATAATAAAGTCTGGTATGGTGGCATATATCTCCAACTAAAATAGTTTCCCTTGAATACTTTACCCATGCTCTTTTAAGAGTCACTGCCTAAGGTCTTCAGCAAATTTTACTAGGTGCACAGAGTAGATCATACAGGCAAACCCCAGATAACTGTATTCATCCCACTGAGGTTATTGCAGACTGTGTGCTTGGTTTCCAATGCACTTATAATACTCCAAGTATTATATAATACTCAAGATATTGCCATATACTGAAATAAATGGTTTTGCAATCCTCTTAGGGCTTTTTGGCTTGGTGTGCAACGCTGAAGGAACAGCTCCTGTAGCACCCACTGACTGGCTAAGGATTGAAGACTTCCATTCAGTGCTGGATGTTAATCTGCTGGGATTGATTGAAATCACACTCAAGCTTCTGCCACTTCTGAAAAAAGCTGAGGGAAGAGTTGTGAATTTAATTAATGCCAAAGGCCTCATGGCTTTTGTAGGGGGTGGCTACAGTCTGTCCAAATGGGGCATGGAAGCTTTCTCTGACACCTTACGGTAAGTAGCCAGAAACACATGCATGAATCCAAGAACAGATTCCAGACGTGGTGAGGAAGGGGGACTGCATGCTTGCCCCTCTTGATTTCTCTCTGGAAATCTTGCCTAAAGAGGAGAAAGAAAATAGGAGGATGTTGGTCACCAAAATCTTTGTTTAGGATTTTAGTCTCCACTACTATGAACAGATTCACCAGGCAACTGAACTGGGAAGAATTTTCATATCCTAGACAAGTTGTTAGCATGCAGCTTTCAGGCATGTGAACCCACTGCATACATGAAAGTAAATCAACAGTATATCCTGACACCCAGAGTTTTCTGAGGAAGCTGTATTTGCCCATACATTTTACTCTAATCTTCACAACAATCTGAACTGGGTGATTCCAGACAGCAACCATAGTACCAAAGGTAGTTGTAACTTCAGAAAATTAGGCTGAGCACCCTTCACTGAAGCCAGTTGTTCTGTACTACCTCTAAAAGACTAAGGCCCAGCCCACTGAATCAAGTCTTCACAAGGACTAGAAAACCTGGTTTCAAACCATTATGAGAACTTAGATAAAGAAAGTATATATCCCAAGCAAATAGAAAATAATGGCTAATGTACATGTGGTCCATTCCTTATTGCACTTTAGGATGCATCTGCCTGGGCCTCTTGAGCTGTGCAGCAAGACAAAGAGGCCACTTGCACCTCAGAGGAGTTTTATTGAAACTCAGAATTACACAGAGGGAACAACATTATGAGAAAACACACTAGCCTTTATAGCACTAACATTTAATCATTTAACCGTAGCCCTTTAACCATAGGATGGAGAATAAAGTTCTAATACAACTGAAAATTTTTGCTTACTTGACTTTTTCCCAGACACTTTAATAATCTGTTCCCGTAAACTAAAATGATGGAGCAGTATTTGAAATAGTCAAAAGTTTTAGTATGACAATACATGACAAAGATGCAGCCGGGTGCTGCATCCTTTGCATCAGTCCAATATAAACCACACAGAGAGCTGTGAATATACTTGATGCTCCTTTTTTTTTAAAAAAATCTCATTTAATTGCCTGCTGTTGTTTGGCAGGACAGAACACTGCTATGAAGCTAATTTGAATATCTCAAAATAATTCTGACATTTGAAGATAAGAATATTCATTTGTGTGACAGGCTTTCCACTTACGTTTAATAGTCATGCCATTATCAGGTGGTTATTGGAGTTTTTATCCTTCTAGGATAGAGATGCAGCATTTTGGAGTGAAAGTAAGCATCCTTGAGCATGGTTTCTTTAAGGCAGGAGTAGTTAATTCAGATACCATCGAGAAATACCTCTTCAAACTTTGGAACGGACTGACTCCTGAGATCAGGGACTCCTATGGAGAAAAATACTTTGTTGAATGTAAGTAGAAAAAGAATTGTATGAGAGCTTAGGGGGGATATTATCAGCATGTATAAATACCTGAGTTGAAGCTGTAAAGACAACAGAGCCAAGCTCTTTTTAGTGCTGTTCAGGTAGGACTCGAGGCAATGGGCACACACTGAAACACAGGATGGTCCTGCTGATCAGGGATCATATTTTTGGAGTGAGGATGACCAAGGACTGGCACAGGTTGCCCAGGGAGGCTGTGGAGTCCCCAGTCTTTTGAGATATTTAAAAGCCTTCTGGACATGGTCCTAGGCAACCTGGTCTAGGTGACCCAGCTTGACTAGGGGGGCTTGGTACCAGAGGTCCCTTTCAACTTCAACCTATCTGTGATTTTGTGAACATTTTCTGGACTTTGTTAACACTCACCAAGAAACCCTCACTGACTGTTCTGGACTATGTGTATGTTAGATGAGGCCTGAGCTACTAGTTCACACATAGACTGGTGAGATGTGAGGTCATGCTACCTTCCTTGGTCCCTTAGTACTTAGAGGCAGGATCCCCAGCGGAAATGAATTGCTATGCCCACATGCTAATTGGTCTGAAAAGTTGTGCTGTGTCACACTGCACTTACTGTACAGAACATCTGGCTCACAATATGGGCCAGGGAGCTTTTTGCTTACTGGGCTCCTGGGTGTTTTGCAGCCTTTCTGGTCTCTGCTCTGCTGTAGCTATGCTGCTCCCAGCGCTTGAGCCAGTAGTTTAAAGCAAGCCTGAAGCTATAGCCAGACTTTGAATACAAAGAACACTCTCATGGAGAATGTTGGGTATAAATGCTTTCAGGTTTATTTTCTTCTTTCCAGATATAAAAGCACAAAGATCTTCAGTCAGAAGACTGTGTGACCATGATATTTCTAGCGTCATAAAATGCATGGAACATGCCCTGATAGCAAAGTACCCCAGGACACGATACAGAGCTGGATGGGATGCAAAGTTCTTTTGGCTGTTTGTCTCCTACGCCCCAACATGTTTATCTGACATGCTGTTGCGTATGATGTTTCCAGCTCCAGCAGATAGCAGGAGATCAGTTCCTGGAGTTCTAATTAATGTCTAGTATTAGAACAGTATCAGCTCTGCACAAATAAATACTACTACTGTCAAAACTAGATGTCCTCTTTACCAGTTACTAGACTGTTTAAATTCCTTTCAGAAGACACTTTCTCCATCCCCCACCCATCCTTACCTGAAATTTCTGAGTTCGCAGGTCGGCTTGTAAATCCAGTATAGGATCTGCATTCATAAAATATTCAGCTACAAAGCTAGTTGATACTATTCACACAATAAAAAAATTTAAAATAAGGGAAAATAAAATCACTAAAAGAATCAGTTTTTCACATTGACTTCATCAACATATAGGCTGCTAGTGATCTTGAAACAGAACAAAGGTCTTTCAGACCACATATCTTATACATGTACCTTACACAATGTATGTAGCCAGATTTAGTCATCTATTTCACAGGCAGTTTGCTCATGGTCATATTCAGGAGTTGATAATCTTCAAAAGCTTCTGAGCACAAGACATGAAGTCAAACAATAACAAAGCCCAGCTATTGCAACATATTCCAAAAATTACAATTACAGTATTTGACCATGTCTAATCACCTGATTATTCAAATGTGTAGGACAAAACCACAAGCTTTTTTACAGATATGCAATTATGGGGAAAGTCAAAACACCACTGTACTATGCAAACAGCGTATCCAAACATGTATTTTAAATTTCTTCTTAATATTAGTGAAATTTACGTGGAAAATACTAAAAATAACATGCATTCACATTTCTTTCACCCTTGGTGAGCTCTGCAAGTTAGGAGTATTGTTATTTCACTTATCAGATGAAACAGGTCATTAGTGTATGCTATGGCAAATTCTTTCAAGTGTACAAAGAGTGTGTTCAGAATGGCAGAACATTAGCTGAGGTTCCTGTGCCTCTTGTACACTATTTCTATCTCTTAAGCTGTTGGCCAGAGGTTCACAAACTGATGTTCCTAGAGATATTAAAATTGAAGGGGTAAAGGTTTTATTTGCTAAAGTGCTGCGCTGGTGATTAATCATTAATGTGCAATTCAATTAAGCTTAGAAAAATACCTTGCGCAGGTCAGAACTCCAAACATAAGAAGTTTCATCACTGTGTGTAAGAGGGGGCATGTGTGTGTGTTTGTACATGTGCAAGAAAAGGACAATGTAAAAAGTTTTAACAAACTTTAAGTATCTCATTGGGGTTCTATTCTCTGGAAAATGGCTTCAAGAATAAATTTATTTTACTTCATTTCATGATAAATACCTGATTAATATCTGCTCTGGCAGCTATAAAGAGAATGTACATGAGAAAACTCAACGGTGTAATTTAGCAGCCCTGTAGTTGCAGATTACAGAGTTGCTGAGATCTCTCAGCCTTCTTTGAAACAGAAAGAATTCAGAATTCAAGATTTCAAGCAGGGACTGTCCTTTTAAGGGACAAGGAATACAAGTGAAAAATGAAGCTAGGAGTAGAATCTAAAGCTACTGTTGAACAAAGCACCGAAACATAAACATAAACAAAAGGGTACACTGTGCTGTGCTACTGAGAGGAAGAGTCCCAGCTGAAGCTTGGGAATCCTTCACCATCAGCTGTGTTAAACAACCAAATCTACATACTCCTTACCTACACAGTAACTCAGGGATGCTTTTCACCCACATCTGAAAAGTTATAATTAGTACAGGGGAAAAACACATCTCTGATATGGCTGACAGAGTAGCATTTTTCTCTAAGGGTGGATCCAGATCTTTCTGTTGACCAATACTATTCCCAAAACTGACGCTACTTTTTCTTGTGGTATTTTGCAAATTTCTTTTGCAAATGTCAGCCCTGCCTTCTATCTTTAAAAAACATTGTGAACTCCTTTCTTAAGAACAGCAACCTGTTTCCCAAAAACATCCTTACAGATGTGTCTGTTGTGCTGCAGACTCCAAGGAATTTTCTACATTAAAGAATTCAGGTATTAAAAAATGCCTTTAAAAAAAAAAACATAATTTGCTTAAAGCTATTAAAAAAAAAAAAATCAAATAATCAAATTCTGACCTCAGACGTGAAAATTAACTGAACTAACATTTTAATCACTTACGTCCATACTACCTTGAAAGTCAGTATCTCAATAGTGTTTCCTGTTTCAAGGGCCAGTTTATTGTGTGAAGCATGAAGCACTATTCCTATGTGACTTGATCTAAAGCACTGTTGTTTCCATCTCAGAGTGCACTGAAGTCTCCTCGACTGAAAAAAGTACATAGAGCCTTTACACAAATTATGGAATAAGAGTGTGATAAAATAATACATTTATTAGATTTATTCAGCAGCATCATTTTTCCAGTTGTCTTTTCTAATCAAAGTATGTTACAAAGTAATTACAAGCATTCTAATTAGAAATAGTATATATTTTGAGAATTTAGATATAAAACAATCAAATAGCAGAAGTCTCAATTATTTAACTTTAGGAATCTTTTATAAAAGTAGCTAGCCAGGAATGCTGAAGAATATGTTCCTGTAATCAGAGTTTCCTCAAATGGTTCATGTTGTGGGAACTATTCTGGCTAATTAATAGAAAAGCTATTAAGATCACCAGTATGCTCTGATGGAAGGTTATAGAAACAACCAGATAACTACAAAAACTGCACTAGTAGAAATTGTTTCCCTTTCTATTCATGTCCACCTCAGGAAATAAATAGTCAATAAAATTAAATTTTTACATTAAAAAAAAAACCTGAATAATTTTTTCAATGAACCAGTATCTTTCATATTATGCTGTTTGGAAATAAACTGTTACAGAAATCTAGCTACTTCATTTAATAGCACAAATTACTTCCAGAGACTCCAGCCAAGAACAGAGCTATTCCACTGATGAGCAAGAGAAAATCTCATTAAGTAGTCATGGCACTAAAATCTAAATACATCCAATCTTTTTAGGAAGACTATTAATGGAATGGTGTTAATTGGAACCTAGAGGAAAAGTATGTGTTTTATAGATTGAAAGGAAATTATCTCAGGCAGTTAAAATATTGTGAGAACAACATTTTCCACAGGTAACTATTCAGCATAATGATGCTGTATTGACTCTTCCATCTTTTTTTTGACACAAGATAAACAGAAACACCCATTTTTACATACATTAGTATATAAAAGGGTGGTAAAGATACCCAGAGCACCAGTAGAAGTTTTAAAAGGTGCTGTTACAAAAGGTATAGTCTAAATACCCTGTATATCAGTAATGTTCCTATATTTGCCTTGTTTGGTTCTTTTTTTAGTTTTAAGCATTTATATAATTAATTTATCCCTAGATATACCACCAATTCCATACAAATTTCTACTAGCAACATCACTGAACAAGATAATCTTAGAAAAATTTACAAATGTACAATATATTTATAACATTACTTTCAGACAGCTTCAGTGCAAAGATATACATATAGTACATCACGATAATTGTTCACAAAAATAGAAATTGGCATTTGTCAAAAAACAAGGCATAGTTTCAATGTACATCTCCAGCCAGTGGCCAAGAGATGTATATATTTTTATAAAGCATTTGAATGTGAACCTTACTCTTCTGTTTATAAAAAATATATGTGCAAATGGATGTGTCTAATTTTCCCTAAATCAGTTACCTAGTTATACCACAGAGTCCTCTTTAACAAGATTGGCGGTGTCTTTAAATGTATCCTCTGTTGCTGTGTAAGCTAGTGGTTGGTCTCTCTTCAGAATAATCTTGGGAGGCAGTGAAGGAGAAGGGCTAGGGACATTTTCTGTGTCCTGTTGCCGTTCCTTTTCCATCTGGAACAATAATCATAAAATCCAAGATTACGTTCTAATGCACCATACATCCTACCTTAATTTTCAGAAATGTTAAATAAATATTTCTAAAGCCAAATATCACAATGTAAGTTATTTCTTCAAATCACTACCTATAACAAAATTAAGCGCTAAATTCACATCAGGTAGTACAGCTAAGTAAATACAATACTTCAATTTACTATGGAGCTTCTACTTTATTGCTCAGTGTCGGGAGTAGTTTGATATGTCTACAGGCATGAGTGTGGATACTGTTTCTAAGTGCTACATTCATCAGTGTTGGGGAAATGAATCTCTGGCTTTCTGAACTCTCTCACCTTGTTCAAGCATCAGAAACCTAAATTCTGCACAAAAGGCAGATAGTTTTAAGTCATGTGACTTTGGAAAGAAGGTTCTTGAGTCACTTAGGCTATTTGGAAATTTTAAACTGTAGGATGAAAAGGGCTGGAATTACTGGTTCAAGTCAGCCGAACTCCAGAACTTCATGCCCAAGCCCAGGTGGAATTCCTTCAGCACACAAAACACCTGCTGGCACACTGAAAAGAACTGTCTCACCCAATCACGTGGATAAGAAAAAAAGGCTGTTATAGAAACAGGGCTGCAGTGCACAGAGCTGTTGAATTCTTGTGCAGTGCTGAAGCCAGGACTGAGAGGACAGAAACAGACACTTCACTCCTGGGGCAGTACAACAGCCTCCCAATTGTGCTGGGTCCTGCATCTGTGCCAGAATGCACCAGGAAGCCGAAACCAGTCCCTGAGATCCCAGAGCAGGAGCAGACCAGAGTGTTCAGGCTGGGAATGCAGGGAAGCAGGCAATGCAGCTGTGCTGCCTGAGCTGAGCCTTTCATGAAGACTGCTGTTTCACACATACTGTGCTCAACATCTCATTTTGCAGGAGACTCAGTAACTTCTCACACAATTACTTTAGTCCTACCCTAACCTGGACTGGAATTTCTGTGCTGCTTCACATAGTAGCAGAAATCTGAATTCATAGCAGAAACCCATAATCTTCATCCTATGAGAGCAAGAACAAAATCTAGCAATATGTTATCTGAAAAATAGAATTATACAATATGAAACAATACCTCTGCATATATTGGGTTTTCAAAATTAGTGTTTTGTTTCATTTTTCTCTTGAAGAAGCGCCACTTTGATTCCTGAAACATAAAAATTATTAGAAGTTTACACACTTTTTCTCACAATTTCTATGCAAACTGCCATTATAGTTGTTGGATTTCACTTGCACTGACTGCTAAATCAGTGATTTCAGCTGGATGTTCTTACATTACC